TAAAGTTATATATATATATATACACTTAAGGGGTATTCTATAATTTTTCTAAAATTAAAAGAAAGTTGCCGCTCTGCTCCCGAGGACGTAGACATCTTTGTGGAACCTCGTTAAATCTTTGTATTTTTTTCTGAATTTGTGTCGATTCTCGTTTGTTTGCCCTAAAATTCTCAACAACCCATCAAGTTATTAAGACTAATTTGAACAAAGTTAAGGCAAACAAACTTTTAAAATCCATTTCAATTAAATATTTATGGTTAAATTTAGCTTAATTCACTATTGAACAAGCCCACTTTTGCTAGTTGGCTCTTTTAGTCTATTTTGACCCAATTAAACCTTTTAAGTTGAATTGGCTGATTTGATCAAATTAATTTTATGTAATATATCTAATTAATATATATGAAATCTTGGACTGGAAGCAAATCAGATGCTTTATAAGCTACTTATAACCCACATTTGCTTGATTAAGTAAATATTGAAGTAATTTGAACACTTTATAAGTGCTCGATTGTTAAATGAACAAGTTTGAACACCTCCTTGTTTGATTTAGTTATATTCAAGAATAATATCATTTAAAGATCACGAGCAAGTTTGATAAGAAGTTTGATGAAAAATTTTATTTAAAGTTCATGAATAATCTTGCTAAAAAGTTCGATGAAAGCTCAATTTAATATTTATGAATAAAATTAGTTAAAACATAACTTAAAGCTTATAAATAAATTGAATTAAAGCTCAATTTGAAACTCAATTATATTTAATTAAATTAAAATTTTAATTGATATTATATTAAACAAGATAAATACTCGTTTATTTGGTTGTCTATTTATTTAGTGCATTTATATGTTTATTTTAGTTTTTTATAGTGGAAAATTTTTTTAGTTATTTTAATGATGTTTAAGCGTCTACCATCGATTTTGGAAGATTTCTATCTAAATGATAAAATGTATCATTCAAAGAATAATATACTATCCTTTGAGGCAGAAATATTACCTTATAATTGGTTAAATCATCTTGACGAGAAAGATTTTTAAGATTTTTGGGTATGTATTAAACAAAAATTCTTATCTTACGAATGTAAGACATGGTTTATTTATTTTAGGATTTGGTATCCCTATAAAAACAAACCCTCATAGTTAATTACATTCCAGAAGTTATATGCTCACAAGAATACTCTCGATAAAAATTTTGGCTTATATAATGCAAGATTTCAAGGTATGTGTTTTCAAAAAGTTTCAAGATTTGAATTTTTTTTTAAATAATAGTATTTTAGGGTTTCAAAAGGTTTTCTTTTGAAATTCAAAGGTTGGGACTTACAGGCCAATGATGATGTAGCATAAAAAAACCATACAAAAGGTTCAGCCAACTCTGGGAATACGATGTACCTCGCGAATTGAAATTTTAAGATTAGTGAAAGAGTTAGATTTCATGTGAAAGAATGGATCTTATTGATTTGGTTTAAATAGTTTGATTTGAAAGATTCAATTGAAAGATTTAATTTCAAGGAGTTGATTTGAGTTGAAGGTTTAATTTAAGTTGATTTGATTTGAAAGGTTGAATTGAGGGTTAATTTGAAGTTTGACTTGAAATAAGATTGAAGGTTATTGATTTGAATGTTTTTTTATGATTAAGTGAAAGTTATTTAAATGTTGATTGAAGGTTATTTAAAGGTTGATGTTGGTGGGGAAATGTGTGCGTGTCTATGTTTGTATCTTAATGTCTTTAAATTTAATTTAATATACATATAAATTTGGTTTTTAGAAAAAAAAGTGTTTTAAAGTAATATTTTGATTTTTGAAAATACGAGACCGAACCGATTCCATAGAGCACAACACCGCAAGTGACATACCTACCCCAAGGGATAGACATATCACTTACGAGTGAGACTCGATTAAATAAACTAAAGAATTATGACATCCGTTTGGTTTGCGAACTATTTTTTTATATGGTGAAAAATTCCCCTATATAATATGGAAGATTAGATAGAGTTTATATTAAGTTGGGTTCTTAAAATTTTCTATAAGAGCAAGCCCCTATAGTTAATTATAAGTTAAATGACTGAAGTCACTTAAGAAAACTCTCGAATTAGATCATAAAATCTTGTATTCAATAATTTCAAAAGGTTAGGACTTTTCGAAGATCGGACCAAGAAGTGTCAAATGAGAAAAACTCAAATTTGGAGCATTTTATTTTGGAATCCAATGGAAGAAAAATTAGGGATTGTCACGGATCCTGAAGAGAACCTCAGTGAATTTCCATGCTATCCTATAGTTTAGTTTCAATTTCGGTGAGAGAAATTATTGAATGTTTCATCCTGCCAATATTATTATATAGGGCTTACATTTGTATGACACAATCATACAACTAGCCTGTAAGATATAAGGTTTTACGTCATAAAAAGTGAGAATCTCGGAACCTAATGGGAGTTAGGACTTAGACTGCACAACATAATTTGCAAAAGTCTAAAGATAAAGTTGAGGATTTATGCCGCACTGGGCGGTCAACCTTAAAGTCATATGGTTTGTTGTTTAAATCTAAGGTAAGATTTTTCGTAGTAGATCCATTTGCTCTCTTGAAGTTGTTCTTTTGTACATCATTGTTATGCTGCCCACGGTGCTAGCTCCAAGCTCCTTATCAATGTAGCAGTCCTTAAATCTAAGGTTTAAAGGTTTAAATGACAAGTTTATCAATCATTTGGGGGGGTTAAAGTTGATTAGAGCCACACCGTTTAGGATCCCACGGTCCCCTCGTTCCGATACCACCATTTTCTTTTGAATTTACTTAGCTTAAACGAGTTGTTAAACCCATTTAAACCGGGGAGATCTCATTAGCAACCATGGGTTACCTCATTTGAGGGCCTCTCGTAAATTCAGAAGGACTTGTTATGAAATTGTTGTTTTTGTTTTGGTTTTGAAAATGTTGATTAATTTTGAAAAAGTTGGTTTGTTTTGGAAAGTTTGTTTTGTTTTGCAGGTGAAGTAAAATCTACAACCAAGCATGTATAATATTTTAAAACAAGAGTACATTGCAGTAAATAAAATAACAGAAAATAAATAAAATTGTAAAAGCGTGCATGCTATCTTCTCGATGATCCTGGATTAGCCTTGTAGTATATCTATTTTACAGAAATTTAAATAAAATTACAGGAAAGGAAAAACAACAAAAAATGTTCAAGCTACACCTACTGAGTTCTGTGACACAACGTAATGGCTTCCTAAAAGTTTAAATTAATGATTTTCTGGAACAAAGTATAATAGGTTCATTTGTCATTCAAAATATCCAAAGTATCATAAAGGTGTTCGGAGTATGACCTCACGCAACCTTTAGAATCTTTTGAAACATTTTGACTTCATTTGAACTTATTATATTGTTTAAATAATCATCCAAAATTAAGTCCGGGGTTTGATTGATTAAAATACACTATGCTCAGTGAAATTGACGTTTTAATCATCTCATGAGAGGGGTACTTAATTAGTCATTTACTGTTTCATTTAAAAGTTATATAAATGGGTGCCCTTGAGGGCAAGATTAGCTTATCAAGACTTTTATGCCTACAATTAAGGCTGATCTTGAAGTGTTTGCAAAATGTTCACAATTAGTTATTTTTCTTTTTTAAACCTAATTAAGCAAGTTTAGATTAAGCTTAGTTCACTACTAAGCCCTTAAGACTTATGTGTGGATGAGTTCTGGACTTTTAGGGATGTTAAATTATATGGTATTTTTAATCCTTATCAATGATCATATCACTCAAACATTAACTAGGGGTTTTAAATAAGTGACTAGGGGTTTTAGGGGTTTTAAATAAGTGAATTATCATTTTCCAACTTCTAACCCCTCACCTAAAGATCATTTAGTTTAATTAACTTCCCGAATTATAAGAATTGGAGGGAATTACAATTATACTTTTATTGTAGAAAATTGAGGTATTAGTTTCTACCATTGAATCCCTTGTGTTTCAATCATCCAAAAGAGTTCATTATGATAAAAATTACCCCTTTACCCTTTAATCAATCCTAAAACTTAAATAAGGCATAATAATTCAAAATTACCATTTTGCCCTTAAGGTTCTCCACTTCATAACTATTTAAATATAAATCAAATGAATTTGAAATTTTTATAGTACCCCACTCATAGGTCAAATAAAATATCAGAGGAAAAAATGTGATTTTTCAAAATTTAATTTAATTTAAATGATTATTTTATTCAAAAATAAATATTTTTCAAAGTCAATTTATTTAATCAATAAAAAAAAGTATCTATCCTTAGAAAAAATATTGGAGGTGCATCTAGCCCAGAAGACCATTAGGACTAATTTTCATAACTTTTCAAGTTATATTTTAATTATTATATTTATTTAATGATTTTGAGTATTAATTAAATGTAAAATATTATTTAAGTTGAAAATTAACTTTAATATTTTTATTAAATGCATCTAAGTTCAGAGAACCCAAAAATATAATTTCCACAT